GGCTGAGACACGCTACCATATGACACCCCGCTTCACCCCGCACCTCGACTTCCAAAGGGACAAAAAAAATGTTTGGCACATGTGACGCAGCATTGCCATGGTCCTTACACGGAGAATATCGTTTCTACGCGCGCGATCAAGCCAATACTCATGCCTCGGTCAAAGGGAGACCTCTCCCCCTTAAGGGACATCATCATCACAGCCTACCGCGAGCAGACCTCTGTTAGCGACATCGTTGCCTTGCCGAAAGACAAGTTCGATTTAGCCATAACCGATCGGACTTTATATCGCCGCCTCCAGGAGTGGAATGAACCTCTTCACCAGCAGCGTACTGCAGATACAGGTCAGCTTCGCTCTCTCATCCAAGATGAGTTTTTTACACGAGGGTCATCGGATTCCGAAATCCTACGCTATGTCCGTTCGCTGGGATTGCCTCTCTCTAAGGCTGGTTTGGAACGCATTCGCAAGGACATGGGGATTTTCCGTCGACGTACTTCAGCCCAACTTGAAGCACAGCTCCTCCAAGCGGTTGACTTTATGGAAACACCTTCTCTTTCTTCCATTCTCATTCCTCGCCTTGGACGCCGGTCTCTTTGGAAACACGTTCTTCAGGTTGCCCACATCCCGATTCCGGGGAAAGCTCTCTACGAAACCTTCAGCCAACTATATCCCCAAGAAGTCGCATGACGATGGCAGCAGAAGCGTGGCAAGCGTGGAGGGTTCACAGTGCCGGGGCCCAACTATACGTGGCCAATCGATGCGTACTGCAAATTGCCCTCCCTCCCGACAGTCTCAATGGTAAATGACTGCGATTTGCTTCGGAGCCTCTTTCGTCGGACCGTTACTGCAATTGTTGAAGCAACCAACTTCCCAACGTTTATGGAATCCTGTTAGTTAGTTTGTCCTTTCCTCCTGAAATTCAAGGCTGCCAGCATTGCATCGACATGCTCACCCAAGGTAAACAGAGACCGCAAGGAGACGAGTCCTACCAACTTTGGTTTATTAAGGAAATTGTCTGGTATCTTGGCGGAGCCCTGCGATGAGAACCTAACGCTAACTATCGCACTCCTTGTCCCTGAAACAACGCCATTTCGAGATCCTACCATGCGAATACTCTTCTGGATTGCCCTAGTTCACTTTCTTATGAGCGGCGCTTCTTAATCGGACATCTGCCAGCAGACCGCTTGTTTTCAATCTCATCCTTCACCATTTGTGCCCATTCCTCAAGCTGCTCCTCTGAGAGCTCGTCAAGCTCGTCCGAAGTGTACATTTCGAACCTGTCCTTCTCTTTCTTAGCAAACTCCTCAACCCGCTCCTGCTCTGCCGCTGTTTCGGTTAGCCTGGACAAACCCTACAAACAACGAGAATAACATACCAATACGAAGGCTGCACGCTGTGCTCTGCCCATAATAATAGCAATTGGTGCATGCTCCAGCACCGTGCTTAGTGGTGGGGACACGGCAGTCGGAAGCAGGGCCACGGGACTGAAAACTGCTGCACTGCTTGCACTTTGGGTTCTGGTATTGCGTCGGAGTAAAGATGTAAACAGCCAGAGATGTCGCACGAGTCTGGGTATCGAACTTCGGCTTAGCAGTCGTCGCCTCGCCTTGGATGAAATACTCGTGCGGGGTAAAAAGACGCTGGACAGCCTAGCAATAACTATGTGAATGGAACACGTTTGGCATTTTGCT